ATTGGTAAAATGATTTTCTTATAAAATACTAAACATTTGTACAGTAATAAAGGTTTTATAGAAATCACCTTCTGGGATCATGGTGGCACAGCCGTCGTGCCCCTCTGCTCCCTCAGCTGCCTCTGACTGCTGCTATTCTACATGCTCCATGAGGCCAGCACCAGGCCAGAGTGGGTGGGACTTCTCGAGGGTGGGGGTACCATTCCCCCAGACCTGCTGCGCTGCCACCAGCCCCGCCCACCTGCAACACAGAGCTCTTCCATCCCCCTAACACAGTGGTTCTCAAACTTTTTGGCTCATGGCCCACCTGGCTCTATGCAAACCTTTTCGTGGGCCACCAGTTGCTAATGAAAACTCACTGTTAATTATATAATTACACCCAGGCCGTAGTGCTGCAGCTAGGAAGAATGGTTTGATTTAACCAGTAAGAAAGGAAATATTAACTTAAATTATTGAACCAACTAAACACTTTAACTTTCTCATGTTAGTTTATCAAACTTCATTTTAAATAAGGTAAAATATTAATGTATGTCCAACACAAAAGGTTCCGATGTTTTCTTTATTTATGGCAGGCCTGAGGGATCCTTTTCTTACCTCCAACCCCCCCCCCCCCAATCTCACTGATATTGCCCCCAACTGACATATTTTACTCCTCTGGTGCTCCAGCCCCACCAGGGAAGGCACAGAGAGGACTGAGGTTCAAGGCTTCCCATAGGCCAGATTTATTCTTCTGGGGTTCCAAGGTTAGTGGATTTTGTGTACCTCCTAGCCTCTAGGGTTGGGACAAAAATGGGGGGTTCATTGTGCAGGAAAGGGTTGCCAGTGAGATGAATGGAGGTGCAGCATTTGTGTGGGAGGTGGGGTACAAGAGAGGAGTGAAAATGTGAGGTCTGGATGGGAGGTAGGGTGTCTGGCCAAGTGGAAGGGGCAAGAGCAAGGCAAGGTGCAGTGTGTGGCCAGGAGGAAGGGTGCAGGAATAAGAGTGGGTGCAGGAGCATGCTGGGGGTAGAGTGTCTGGCCAGGGGGGGAAGGGTACAGGAGCAGGAGAGGATGCAGGAAGTGGCTTGAGGTGTGGGAGTCTAGGCATGAGATAGTGGGGGGCACTTACTTGCCTTTGCACCCCGTCAGTCCGAGGTACCGCCTCCCACTGCTCCCATTGGATGGATTCCATTGGAGCATTAGCACCAGCTTCCCACTGGGGGCGAAGGGGAGGGAAGAGAGAAAGTACTGAGCTATGTGTATGGCTAGCAGGGAAGAAGCACTCCTCCTCCCCTTCCCCCAGCTGGGAGAGGGAGAGCACTTCTTCCCCACAAGCCAGATCACACAGTGAGGCTTGGAGGCTTTCTCTCTCCCTCCTCCCCTGCAATAGGAAGCTGGTGCTGACATTCCAACTGGGGGGGGGGGGGGGGGAGGGGGGGGGGGA